AGAGAGAAAGAGAGAGAGAGAGAGAGAGAGAGAGAGAGAGAGAGAGAGAGAGAGAGAGAGAGAGAGAGAGAGCTTCACATCCTCATCGACCTTGCTCATTTGACTTACCCTAGCCGATCCTACCCGAGGTCTCGTGCATCCCCCTTGCGACCCCCTAAGACTTTCCAGTGGACGGGTGTGGGTGATGGAGGAGGAAGAAGGGTTGGAGGCGGTTGGCTATGGTGGACGGGTGTGAGTGATGAAGGAAGAAGAAGGGTTGGGGGGGATCGGCTATGGTGGGCAGGTGTGGGTGATGAAGGAAGAGGAAGGGCTGGAGGTGGTTGGCCATGGTGGATGGGTGTGGGTGATGGAGGAAGAAGAAGGGTTGAAGGCGGTCGGCTATGGTGGACGGCTGGGGGTGATGGAGGAGGAAGGAGGGTTGGAGGTGGTCGGCTATGGTCGACGGGTGTGGGTGATGAAGGAAGAAGAAGGGTTGGAGGTGGTTGGCTATGGCGGACAGGTGTGGGTGATGGAGGAAAAAGAAGGGTTGGGGGTGGTCGGCTATGGTGGACGGGTGTGGGTGATGGAGGAAGAAGAAGGGTTGGGGGTGGTCGGCTATGGCGGACGGTTGTGGGTGATGGAGGAAGAAGAACGGTTGGGGGAGATCGGCTATGGTGAACGGGTGTGGGTGATGGAGGAGGAAGAAGGGTTAGGGGTGATCGGCTATGGCGGATGGGCGTGGGTGATGGAGAAGGAAGAAGGGTTGGGGGTGGTCGGCTATGGTGGACGAGTGTGGGTGGTGGAGGAAGAAGAAGAGTTGGGAGAGGTCGGCTATGGCTGATGGGCGTGGGTGATGGAGGAGGAAAAAGGGTTGGGGGTGGTCGGCTATGGTGGACGGGTGTGGGTGATGAAGGAAGAGGAAGGGTTGGGGGTGGTTGGCTATGGTGGACGGGAGTGGGTGATGAAGGAAGAAGAAGGGTTGGGGGTGGTAGGCTATGGTGGACGGGTGTGGGTGATGAAGGAAGAGGAAGGGTTGGGGGTGGTTGGATATGGTGGACGGCTGTGGGTGATGGAGGAAAAAGAAGGGTTGGACGTGGTCGGCTATGGTGGACGGGTGTGGGTGATGGAGGAGGAAGAAGGGTTGGAGGTGGTCGGCTATGGCGGACGGTTGTGGGTGATGGAGGAATAAGAAGGGTTGGAGGTGATCGGCTATCGTGGACAAATGTTGGTGATGGAGGAGGAAGAAGGGTTGGGGGTGATCGGCTATGGCGGATGGGCGTGGGTGATGGAGGAGGAAGAAGAGTTGGGAGAGGTCGGCTATGGCGGATGGGCGTGGGTGATGGAGGAGGAAGGAGGGTTGGGGGTGGTCGGCTATGGTGGACGAGTGTGGGTGGTCGAGGAAGAAGGAGAGTCGGGAGAGGTCGGCTATGGTGGACGAATATGGGCGATGGCTCGTTTCTCCCGTGGTCCACAGCCGATCCTATTCTACCACCCAACTCCCTACCCCTTATGCCTTTCTCGTAGGTCATTGGTTTTGGCCTCACGTGCCCCCTTGCAATAGTGAAGACACTCTTTTTCAGAACCGTACATTCCCAAGAGAGGAAGCAACAAGAAGTGATCCGTCGACACTTTCCCAATCATTTAGAGCCGCAAAACGGCAATGTGAACAACACCCTACCCAGGGGTTGAACAGCGAAGTACTACCGGGTGAGCAGCTACCTACCCATGCACATAGAACAGCAAACGGACAATGTGAACAGCACCCTACCCTGGGGTTTGAACAGCGAAGTACCACCGGGTGAGCACTAGCCTACTCATGCACATAGAACAACAGAAAGGACAATGTGAACAATACCCTACCCGGGAGTTGAACAGCGAAGTACTACCGGGTGAACAGCAACCTACCCATGCACATAGAACAACACAAGGACAAATGTGAACAGCACCCTTCCCGGGAGTTGAACAGCGAAGTACTACCGGGTGAACAACAACCTACCCATGCACATAGAACAGCACAAGGATAATGTGAACAGCACCCTACCCGGGAGTTTGAACAGCGAAGTACTACCGAGTGAACAACAACCTACCCATGCACATAGAACAGCAAATGGACAATGTGAACAGCGCCCTACCCGGGGTTGAACAACGAAGTACTACCGGGTGAACAACAACCTACTCATGCACATAGAATAGCAAATGGACAATGTGAACAGCACCCTACCCCGGGAGTTGAACAACGAAGTACTACCGGGTGAACAGCAACCTACCCATGCACATAGAACAGCACAAGGACAATGTGAACAGCACCCTACCCGGGAGTTGAGTAGCGAAGTACTACCGGGTGAACAACAACCTACCCATGCACATAGAACAGCACAAGGATAAATGTGAACAGC